AAAAAAAAAAAAAAAAAAAAAAAAAAAAGAAAAATCTTTTCTTCGTGGATTGAAAAAACATTGTTTACTCGATAAATATATTTTATTAACTATATCACCGAGATCATGGAAAATTGGCTGGACGAAAATGCACGAGCACCGAAGACAAGTAATGAGAAGTCATTTTTATTGCGGTTGTCGAGTAGGAGCGCCCTCAATTTGCTATACTGATTGCAATCTGATTTCATCATTTGTAGAAACAGAAGGTTGCGGACAGACTCGTGTTTTTTCAAGGTTTTTTAATGTAACAAAAATGTTTCAAATCAACTCGGAGTATTAAAAATAATTATTTTTCAATGCTTAAAAAAAAAAAAAAAAAAATGTATCGATCAAGTTTTATAGTATACGATCTGGCCAAAGGTATATCATCATCTTCTATATATATATGACTCTAATAACATGTGCATACAAACGGCGGTGTAATTAATACAATAAAAGTTCACAATAATATTATCTTACCTGTCATGCAGACGGTATAGAAAGCATTGGGATTGGCGTTCCATGTTAACGTTGGTGCCTTTTTGACTTGAGTTGGGGTCAGCTCTTGGCCAAACTCCTGTATTATTTTACCATTGAAATTCACCTGTAAAACGATTATAGGTACATTTTATGGATTGGTAGCATTGATGTATGTATATGACAATTGAGTTTGAATCAAAAGTAGATAAGAAATACATATGTATATACTCATTCGGTCAATGTCTTTTCCAACAATACTCATACATATTTATTTATGTGTGCATTAAGTTGGTAAAAATAAAAAGTGTTTGCTTGTACATTCGTGCGTTCAATTTCAATTTTTATTACCTCGAGTAATTCCGCAGGTGCTTCTTTCAGGACATCGGGTACTACTTCCGAGGTATTAAATTTTGCCGCAATATCTCCATCGGCAGAGCAAACAATGGCGCTGATTGTGCACATAAAAATGCCTAGAGTAAAGAAAAAAAAAGGAAATATCATTTAAACGTCACAGTTCAGTGGGGTATTTTTCCTACTTTCAAAATTATGGTTTGATTGTCGGATATTATACATTGAACATAAGTATGTTGATTATTTTTGTTTAATTGAATCTGTGTGTGAAAATATTGCTGTGCATGAAATTATAAGTGTAATATGTTTATTTACATATAAATGGGTGTACATTATTTGCGAATTAAGCACATTTTTCCTTGTATATGAGTGTATACGATAAATAAATGCGTCCTGCTCACATAAAAATTTAATAACAAGACAGGGTCGTGTGCGCGCACAACCACACCTTACATATCTAATAGGTAAATGTGTACAATAATTGTTAAGCATTTTTTTTTAAGAGGAAAATTTCAGGTTTTCAAGTACAGGATAAACGTTACAAAAAAAAAAAAAAAAAAACTTAAATAGAAATTGTTTGTGAATAAGGTTTTTTTTAATAACTTTGGTGGTACATGAAAGTTGAATATATTCAACGTACAAAAAATGTCCATCCGTTGAAAAAAAAAAAAAAAAATGTGTATTATGCAGTCAATACCTCGATACTCTAATGTTCGAATAATTTAAATATTACTTTGTGATTATTAGTGAAGAATTTTTAATGCTTTATTAATATGCATGAATTTATCACTAGCAATTAATATTACATTCACCATACTTGAATTTTTTCACCCAAGTTTTTAAGACAAATATATTACAGAAATGATATAGGGTCCCTGAAAGTTTGATTGTGTACTTTATGTGCGTGCACATTATTAGAGAAGCCTCATACGCTTATGTTATGGCATGATATCGTTAAAACCAATATTTATTGATTATGTAATATGTAAAATAAATATATGAAACGAAATCAAATAATCAAAATTGTGTCACACTTTTTTATGATTTTATATTAATTAAGCTCAAGTTGTGGGGTAAAAATTATAGTTGAGACCAAAAAACAAAAACTTCGATACTATCACANTTTTTAAAGTGCTTTTTTGCTAAAACTCTGTCTATACATTCAAGACACTTAGATTAACTATAAAACAAATTTTATAAAAAAAACACTCTTAGTTTTAAATCTTCTAAGATTTTTGTCAGCGAATAGCCTAATAGAAACTGCAAGAAAATTCATTTGCAAGAATTTTTTATTTTTTTTTTTAAGTTCGTTGAATTAAATAACTCACATATAACATATTTATCACTGAAACGATGGTAAAAAAATAAGTGTTAAAAATGTATTTACTAAAAATACTGATAAAATCCTTTGAGTTGAAAAATAATCAATTATTACAAGACAATATATCACAACAAAAAATAATAATAATTAAGATAGTTGTTGTTTTTAGAAAAAGCAACTTTCAAATTAGTACGTTTATAATTACAATTAAGATGGTGTGGGTCAAAAAAAAAAGTTTCTTAATGGTATCAATTATACACTTACTTGCGACGAACGCCTTCATCTCTGGAGTAAAGTCGAGAAACGACTAAGTGGACTAGTGCCGTTATCTTCCATTAAGAAGAGAAACTCGGGTATAGCCCGAGGTCGGAAACTCGTTTTTGTTGCGTCACAAAAATAATTATTCGCGCGGCAATATAATTCCAGCTCGATTTTTACATTATTTATCTGCCATCGGTGCAACATGTTCTTGCGATCGCCATGGATTTTTCAAAACAAAAACGTCAAGTATTGGATGAATGAATAAAGTTTAGCCATGTATGTATGTATGAATGTGTATGAACACGAAAATTATTTTTTTTAAATCATCAAATGATTCAATTAGAATTAAAACGATATTTATGTTTAATTAATCGATTACTAAAATTTGTGAGAGTATACGTATAATGATAAAATTAGTTTTTCCTCTTCTAGTTCCTTGTCATTTTGAAATATAGTGTTACTAACAAAACGTACAACTACAATTACAGTATTCAACAAAAACTCCAGTTTACTCACGTAGGAGTCTATAGACTTCATATATAAATGCCATGGACAGTCATACAATTGCATTGTCCCTATGTTAAATGACTCATGGCTACCGGATTATGGAGTTAAAGTCTTCGGGATTTTCTTGGGTTGCGTGGTTAAAGGCTCCAGTATTACAGGGTTATCGGGTTAATGTGTTTTTTTTAATTTCCCGGGGATCTCTTGTTCCATTTTTTTTACCCTTTCCGTTTCCACTTACCACATCATGGTTAGAAAAAAAAGAAGAGCTCTTGACAACCGACGACAGGTTACCAAGTCATTTGCTGCTGATAGATTGCACACACGCAGACGACACTACTAAGCTATATACTACCACATGCAGTCAGCTGTATGTTATAATATAAAATTGGATTTAGTGAGGGAGAGACTCATCGTCGTAATTCGTAAAATATTATAGTCGAGAAAAAAATATGCAAAAGAAAATAAGCTCACTCTGTAGATGCTTACTACTCAATTGTAAATTCAGCTGCCGTCATTTTTACTGCTGTTGATATTTCTCTCTCTGTTGTTATTGTTGTTGTTCTTGTTCTTGTTCTGCTGTGCTGTGATACCCTGATTCTGCTGTTTTTTTGTGCTTGACATTCGTTCTTTGTTGTCTTCCTATATGTTAAACCAAAAGCCGTGTGTGAGAGTCATGTCAAGCCATTCAGCAGCAGCTGATCCAGTGTCCACTTAACAAACTTGTTGACTCATCGTTGTGCAACCTTCCAATGACCACCACCTGATATATACACGTAAAAACTTGCCCGAGTGTCAAGTTGCGTGTGTAAAACATGTTCAGCTTCGAGGGTGATTATAGGCGCAAACCACAGCAGAATTTAGCCGGTGCCAGCAGAACGGACGAGAAGGCCACTCTGCTCCAGCATGCGCATTTGGAGAGACAGAAACGAGAACAGCAGCGACTGAAGCACAACTCCGCAGTCAAGATTCAGGCTGGTGTCAGAAGCTTTGTCCTGAGACAATTTGTGAAAAGGCAGGAGAGGCGTGAGTTTGATGAGTTGATGCAGGACATCACTGCCAGGAAAAGAGGCGTCGACGACTTGACACCGTTGGTTAAGAAGCTCTTGTTTTTCTACAATCACAAGGACGACGGGACCAGACTCGTTAGTCTACTCCAGCTCGTGCTGAGACTTCACAAAGATATCAAGCAGAGGTACTTGACTTCTCCAGAGTGGTCATGGAAGATCAGGTAAGTGATTTTTTTGATCCACCAAAACTTAGTATTTTTACTTTATGTATACAAATATCCTACCAAGTATTCCATACAAGCATGCTTATTTGAATAAAGTACACGGTACAATCGTAGCTAGAATCTATATTTAAAGTACTTATTTGCGATGTTTATTGTAGATATAGCAAAGTGTCTTAATACTACATGCTTTTGTTTTTCAGGTGGTTACTCAGAACTTGCATGCAATACAGTCTTCAAACTGTGTTGGTAGACTCAGTTCAATCAATAGCCATACCCTTCAGAATCTTAGAAGTCTTCACAACGCCAGAGGATATAGACAAAATTGTTGGCCCAGATAGTAATTCGAACCTCAAAGAAATATTTGCCTACCTTGTGAAGAACAAGTACTTTCAGCAAGTTCGGCAATTAATTGATGCCAAAGTGCCACACGATCTCGAGCCTTCTCCAGTACCGCCGACACCCATGGCAAAGTGGTTCCTTGAAATGATACAACGACCCTTGAGTATAGTTAATAGTGTAGACAATTCTAATGACTTTTGCTTTTTGATTTTAAATGAGTTTTGTGCGAGCATACTATCACCAAAACTAACGAATCCTATATCAGACTTTGTTATTCCTGCACTACTGGAGTTCAAAGAGTTTCCCTACAACAAGTTCATTGACTGCATCAACCGCTGCAACAATCAGCCGAGCGTCAGTCTTTTGTATGCGGTTCTTCAAATGGAACCGGTTGGAAGATGTAAGTTGATCGTTAACTCGGTAAATCGTTACTTATAATCGCATGATAAACAAAAAAAAATTTTTTTCTTTGAATTTTCAGCGATGAACAAATCAAAGGACAATCTAGTAAACTATCTTCAAGTTTTGGCGTCCTTGAGTTCTATGCTCAATCCAACTCTAGGCCAACGTAAGTCAAACAACGAACAGCTCTACGATTCCGACAGCGACAGCGAAACAGAATTCATGGACACAGGGGAGTTCGAGACGATATATCGTTGCATCGAAATGTTGAACGAAGAACAGCGCGTTCACAACATATTGTTGGGAGCCGATCAAGGTGCAGACGATCCTTCGGTGCTGCAGCCACTGTGCTCACTCTGTCACAATCTACTGATAAATAACAAAAACGCGATTCACAAGTGCAAGCTTCTGTACATGCTGGCCTTCAAACCAGCCTTTCTGCGGCAGTTATGGAACACACTGTTGACTCTAAGCCAGACGTCATTGTTTGGTGGTTCGACGCCTTACATACACATCATATCGAGAGGTATTGCCTTATCGACCGACGACACGGCGCGAATTGTGCCTTTGTTGGCGGTGTTCTGTTCACTGTTAAGTCTGTTGATAACTACCCTCCACGACACCGAGTTCTTTGTCGAACCATCGGGCGTGGATCTGAACAACATAATGGACAAGGCGCAGCAGCCACTCCAGCAGCAAACGATGCCATTCACGACGTACGACTTGGTGATGCTCAGCTCACACTTGAAAGGCGTTTGTCTGGGGCTGGTCGAGCTCGCTTATCCGGAGACCAGGCCGACCATAAGGGACGACTACAAGAACGCGGTTCTGGGTCCCTCGTCGTCGACAATAGCTCCACAGAGCACGCAAATCTGGGCGCACTTGCTCAAAGTCTGCGTAAGTCTCCTACGCCAGCTGCACACGCGCGATTTGCGCCGGCAGTACTGTCCGGATGGCCACTGGATCGCCTCGAACGTGGAGATCCCGATGGGCAAGCCCCACGACTTCAGCCTTCGACGGCGCCGGTTGCGCAGTTACGCACCCTTCCATGGCCTACGAACCCTCAAGCGTGAAGAAATCGAAGAAGGCCCACCCATGTCCACGAAGGAGGTCCGCACGCTCACTCTTTTGCGCGAGATACCCTTCGTGGTGCCGTTCAACGATCGCGTCGTCGTTTTCCAGACGCTCATTCACCGGGACAAGTGCGAGATGCAGGGCGAGCTCTCGCACTTCATGCAAGGCCCATCCATCAACGTGTCCATCAGGAGGAATTATTTGTACGAAGACGCGTTTGACAAGCTTTCGCCCGAAAACGAGCCCGAGATGAGGCTCAAAATGCGGGTACAGCTGGTTAATACGGCTGGTATGGACGAGGCGGGTGTCGACGGTGGCGGCTTGCTCAGAGAATTTTTGGCGGAGCTGCTCAAGACTTGCTTCGATCCCAATAGGGGCTTCTTTAGACTTACCAAGGACAACATGCTGTATCCGAATCCAATGGCTCACTTGCTTGAAGAGAATTTTCCCAAGCATTACTTTTTTATCGGTAACGTCACTTTATCACAGCTCATGCTTTGTAAATAATATAAAAAAATTTTCATTTTACTGATTAAGTCTCGTGAATTTCACAGGAAGAATACTAGGAAAAGCTTTGTACGAAAATTTGCTCGTCGAATTGCCGTTTGCCGAGTTTTTCTTATCGAAAATCGTCAGCACGAAGTCTGACGTTGACGTTCACCACCTTGCCTCCCTCGACCCCGTAATGTATCGAAACTTATTGTACCTTAAGAGCTACAAAGGCGATGTAGCTGATCTTGGCCTAGATTTTACAGTCTTATCGGACGAATTAGGTAACGTTACGTCGTAAATGTTGGCCTATTTTATTGCACGGCAATCGATTTTCAATCCTATGCTCATCAACAGGTGAAAGACGAGTAGATGAACTGAAATCTGGTGGTGCCAATATCCCAGTAACCAATCATAATCGAATCGAATACATTCACCTGATGGCCGATTACAAACTCAATAGGCAGATCCGAGCTCAGTGCGCTGCGTTCAAACAGGGAATCGGCAAAGTTTTACCACTCGATTGGCTGCAAATGTTCAATAATAAGGAACTACAAGTGTTGATTTCCGGTGCTCAGATACCAGTCGATGTAAATGATCTCAAACAGCATACCAACTACACCGGCGGTTATGCACCTGAACATCCGACGATCGTTGCGTTCTGGAAGGTTGTGGACGAGTTCAGCGATCAGCAAAAAAGACTTTTACTTAAATTCGTGACAAGTTGCAGTAGGCCACCATTGCTGGGATTCAAGGTAAAGTAAAATTTATTAAATAAAATTTAAAAAAATGTTTTGTGTGATTATACTTTGCAAATGACTAAATTTACGCGTATTTTAGGAACTAGATCCGCCTTTTTGCATACAGCATGTGGGTACATCCGATCGGCTGCCAACGTCCAGTACGTGCATGAATTTGTTGAAGCTTCCAGAATTCCCGGACGAAAAAACGTTAAGAGAAAAGCTTCTCTATGCCATTCAAGCTGGTGCTGGATTTGAACTTAGTTAAAATAATTTTCAAATGTGTACTTTTCATTTATACTTGAAAAAAGGAGATTTTCCAAATGTTTTAATTCAATGAATGTTTTTATTTTCATCCGAACGTTAAGCTTAAAACGTGTGAGTTGCTCCAAATTAGAATTAAACTCTAAGATATATTTTGATTGATGTGTTAGTTGAGTAAATGATCATTTTTATTTGGCGGATAGTTCTTAGTTTAAGAAACATACATTGAATTTTAGACTTTGAATGCCCTCATTGATTTGTACACTTAAGAAAAAAAATGTCAATGACTGTGTAAATAGTTATTTTGTAAAATATTAATATGCAACTATTTTGGTACTGCATATACTACTATCCATGTTATTAGTTTTTAAGAATAAACTTTGGTTTGAGATGTTTGTATTTCATAGGCAGTTTGATGAAATTTATCAGTTACTGGTGAAAATTGTAAGTAAAATGTTCTTTTTGTACATAAAGCCAAAATATTACTCATGTATAATTTATTTTATTTCAACACAACTCTGTCAAATGTCAGTGATAGTTTTTTCAGTTTTTATTTTTAATATTATCTCGTGTGCCTTATTGTTTCATGTTCGCGTGTCATTTAAATATGTAATATTAAACGGATCATTATTAACTTTATTTCATTATTACAAGACATTATTTCCAAGGGGCCAAACTATTCGAAGTATACAACTAGAAATATTGGTGCTGCTGTGTATGGTAAAATTTGTTTATAAATTAAATTTGAATTTTACAAAAATAGTTTGGTTGCATCGTCTTTTAACTTACTTATAATTAAACTTGTATCATTATATTGGAAACTACTGTATAATTAATTTAAACTGTAAAAAGGTAGCTGGTTTTCCATTTGAATAATTGTACAAAAATTAATCTTAATTTCTATTTTAAAACGTGCAGGTGCATCGTGTCAATAAAATCGCTACATTATCGAATTTTGGTCAAAAGTAGAAAAAATTTACCATCCTACATGATCATGAATCAAGTAATAAATGAATTGTATGTACAGAATGTTTTTTTTGTCTGAATAGCTTTAGCGTTCGTGTAAATATTTACATTTTAGAAATAAATTAATAAAAATTATTAAATGCTTGAGTTATTTCAACAAATAAATAGATAGTGTACATAATTTGATTTGTCAAAGTTGTGTAAGGTAATAGTCTACAAAAACACAGAAGAAATTCTAGCAGTTGCATTGGAAACTTCGATCCACTACTTATTTCCGTCCCCTTTTAAAAATTTAATTCCACACTTTTGATCTATTGGATGTGCTATATAAAACAATTAATGATATGTATCATTTATAAGCTTACATATATTTAAAACCAAAAATTCCCGTTTTTTTTTTTAATTTGAAAATTTTCAAATGCAGCTACTTAATTAGCACATATTCATGATTTCTTGCAACATTACTCAAGTAGGGGGTTCCTGCGACTAACACTGAAGTCAAATACAACCAAAAAAATCAAGTTTCATTTTTCAACAAATAACTAATAATTCTGTTTTCAAGTGCATATAACATTGTAACACTAATTTAAATTTAATGCCACTAGCTTCTGTCGATCGGTAACGATGCATATTCTTTATTGTTTATTTAAAAACAAAGACAAAAATCTAAATAAGATACAATAGATGACAGCATTATTTATTATTGTTCAAAGATATGTAATCAAATATGTATTCTTAAATATTCTTGTATATAAATGGCTATGTAACTCAAAGTTAATGCCAATAAATCTATACTAATAATAATAAAGTTTGAAGTTGATTCGTAAATGATAACATAATACTGTAATAAAAAAAAAATGTCGGAGCAAGAATTTTTCAAGTTGCCATTAGTATCGACTCTTAACTTTGTATACAGCAATAAATAATTCTGTTTGCATGCAGTCTTGGATTTTTCTAATTTTGCATTTATTTTAAAAATATGTATAACACGATTAGTTACTAACAGATCATAGTGGCGCAAAAATATTATTTGAAATCTACTTTTTCGTCCTCAAAGTGTACTTACCAACAGAGTGAACACTGTGGTAAGGAAGGTAGACTTTTAAAAACAAGCGGCGTTACCACCACGACCTACGTAACTTTACAGTTACGTAGGAACGAACGTAGGTCGTGGTGGTAACGCCGCTTGGGGTGTTTTCCGCAATCGTCGTCACCAGCAAGTAATTCAAGGTTGTGCTCTACGTTACCATCAGTTTAATTCAAAGTAGTTGACTTACCGACTTGATGGTAACGTAGAGCGCAACCTTAAATTACTTGCTGGTGACGATTGCGGAAAACACGTATAATATTTTGAGTTGCAGTTTGACAAGTTTAATTTATATACTCAACGATAAGTTTATTGCAATACATAGCTGCAGTGCAGTTTACAACGAAAATATATTTTTATAAGTGAGACACAAGACAAATAAGGTCCGACAAAAAAAAATACATATCTCTACATATCAGTATTATTCATTAGATTGTTGAAAGAGAAGCTATTGTCTTTGTTGTATTTGGTTTTTCTTTTTAAAAGTACGTAATTGATAAAAGAAGAGGTGTTTCACTTTTCTCGGAAAAACATTTATTAATTTACTTATACCGAGAAATATAATCGGCGAGGGGAGGAGAAGGGTGTCGGCGGCGGCAAGAGCGCGCGAGCGAGCGCAAATTCGCGAAACGAAAATCGCAGTTTACTAGCGCTAAAAGTATAAGAAACAAAACATACCAGTACGTACCTGGGGCACATAGAAAGTATCGAAAAGAAGTAACGCTCCATGGATGATATTATGGCCATGCCGTCGAGCGATTCGGAAAAGAACCTCGAGTACCGGGTTTACAAGTGTTCGAGTTTCACCACTCCATTCGTGCCCGAGTGAGTATTTGTAACTATCATCTTCACTTGCTAAACAAAACTAATAATTCCTGGCTACGTCTTTCTCTCGCGGCATGATTTTCGTGTCGTCATTTGTGTGTTTTTTTATCCCTCTCGGGATGATTGTTGCTCCCGGAACATAACCTAAATACCTAAAATCCCCACAAAGTCTAATTCAAACATACGCACACATGTGTAGCCATGCATGTATGTATGTGCGTCTTTTTACACTTGTTATTAAACTATTAAATGTATTTTTTATTTTGCGAATTAAGTTTAAGAATAAGATTATGTTCATAAATTCGGTAACGATGAGTTTTTCTCTTGAGTATTCGGTTATGAGTAGGATTAATAAGTGGATCTTTTGCTTTGCAGAAACATACTTGTTGATAAACCGTCAGATCAAAACTCTCGCTGGTCGACGGACAATGACAACTATCCGCAGGTATGTATTTTTTTCAGTTTATTTTGTTTTTTTTTCCATTTTGCTGTACATATAACGTGAAATTGAGTACAATAAATGGTTGTAGTACATGACTCTGAAGCTCCAAGAACCTGCCATTGTCAAGAGGATAACGTTTGGCAAATTTGAAAAGACTCACGTTTGTAATGTCAAAAAGTTCCAAGTGTATGGTGGCATCAATCCAGAGAGTATGCTGAAACTTGCAGAAGGGTATGGCATTAGTGCTTGTATGGTATCTACTTTCTTTCATTATTTAATTGACAATTATGTTGTGGACAGTGGGCAGAGGAATGACGCTATTCCAGAGACGTTCGAGTTGAAGTGTACAATTGGAGCAAATAAACATTACTTTCCGGTGAGGTACGTTAAAATTGTTGTCCTGCAGTCTTGGGGTCCAAATATGAACTGTTCTATGTGGCATGTGAAGCTCACGGGGATCAATGACCACAATTTGGTTAAGATAGGCTTGGATTGGTTGCAGGAGGTATAATATTCTTTTTTTTCTTTTAATAACATCAAATATTTCATAAAATTTCCGATAACATTTTTACTTTGTTTTATTAGTATCAAAAGAGAGAGGTAATTAGACTTTGCATAAAACACTTCAGAAAGTACCAGCAGCAAGAAATAGTGGACACGCTTGAGAGAGTAACAGGAACTCTAGTGGAAGATCCTCAATTGTCAGTTCTATATGATTTGCTTGTCGTGAAAGGAAATCATATTAAAGCAGAAGAATTTATAGCAAATGCTATTTGCAGTAAGTTAAAAGATATTTCTCTGCTCGTTCATTAAAAATTAGACGTTTGCATTCGCATGAATAACTAACGATCAAATACCGCTTTATAGCTGGGCTTTTAGATGAATATATAAATGATCAACTGTACCAAGTGGTGTGGCAAAAAATTTCCATACCAGACCTAAAACCTGGCATGAGAGGTGGTCATCAGATGGTTCTTGATCCATCCACAGAGATTCTTTACCTTTTTGGTGGTTGGAATGGGAATCAAGATCTAGCTGACTTGTGGGCATATGATATCAATACCTCTACATGGACGTTGATCTGCTCAGATACATCAGCAGTTGTAAGGGCACCTAAAGCATATGATGAATATTTGCATGTATTAATATTATTTTTTAAAACACGAGCAAACGTTTCTTAGGGTGGACCTTCTGCACGATCATGTCACAAAATGTGTTTAGATCCAGAAAGACGTCAAATTTTTTTGTTGGGGCGGTATTTAGACACGCAGTTTAGAACGACTGAAAACTTAAAAAGTGATTTTTTTGTCTATGACATAGGCTGTGACAAATGGACACAAATTTCTGAAGACACGGCTGCAGTTGGTGGTCCAGAGCTGATATTTGATCACCAAATGCTAATGGATATTGAAAAAAGAACCATTTACATATTTGGTGGACGCATACTTATCCCGCCAATGACGTAAAATACATTACTTTCTTTTTTTATGATATTTGTCAAGAGTTATTTCATGTTCTAATATTTTTAGACAAGAAGAAAACACATTGAGTACTGGGGATCTGAACTTTTCTGGTTTGTTTTCTTATCATGTTCCTACAGGTACTTGGCAAAAACTTGCTCATGACATAGGAAGACCAAATATTCAAAATTTGCCAAGTATTAAATCCAGAGTTGGACATTCCATGTTGTTCAATCCTGTAAGTTTTATAGAAACAGTTTTGTTAGTTAAAGAGGAAAATTTATACAAGAACTTTACTTTTTAGGCATCTAGAAAATTGTACATATTTGCTGGACAGAGAGGTAAAGATTACTTGAATGATTTTTTTACTTATGAAGTGGATACTAACAAGGTGGAAAATATCAATTTGAACGAATTAAGTACCAAAGATACAAGTCATATTCCTGCAGCTGGTTTTACTCAACGTGCCACAATCGATCCAGAACTTGGCGAAATTTATGTTTTATCTGTACTGACTTATGTGCATATTGACATTAATTGAAAAAAAAAAAAAATAATTATATTAAACCGTTTATTATTTGTAGGGTTTGAGTAAAGATAAGGACAAGCGAGATGAAAATGTTCAGAACTCGTTATGGGTTTATAATATCAAAAGTAACAAATGGGTTTGCATCTATAAAAATGAAAATTTAGGAGAAAAATATTGGGCGAAAAGGCAAAATTTTGAGCCTTGTCCACGTTTTGCACATCAACTTGTATATAATCCTGTAAAAAAGGTAACAGTCAATAAAATAAAATATTCTTCAAAGTTCATAGATTATTGATTTCATTACAGGTTCATTATTTATTTGGTGGAAATCCCGGACGATCTTGCGTGCCAAAACTTAGGCTTGACGATTTCTGGCAGCTTGAATTACGCAGACCATCGCATGAACAAATTCTGGACAAATGCAAGCTCATAATTAGAAAATATAAATTTGCGGAGCTTGCAGTGGTTGATACTTTTGAGGCACTGGATTATTTACAGACACAAGTTGCAGAAATAATTGATCATAAAGATGAACAGCAAATCAAAGAGGTAAGACTGTGTGAATGTCTTGTGAAACTTGAATTTACGTGATATTTACAAAAACTTTGAACTAATATTTTTTAAAATTATAGTTACATATGTTAACATCGCTGCTTTTTTGCAATCAATTTGGCCACAAAGAACTTTCAGACGAAGACGACGAAATTAGCAAATTTTGTGAGCTAGGATTGAATGAAAAAGACAAAAGGCAGAGGATACATAGTCGTCGAACGGAGCTTTACGATAAACTATCCGAGTTCTTCCCAGAATCGCTGACCCAACCACGCGTAAATCTTACTGATATTTTACCATTGTGATAAAAGACGAAAATTTCTTAACGACGAGGATCCAACTGGTCTAACAAGTGCTGCAACATATGTCTTGTGACGATAATCGGAATTTTCCAATTCGTTTTTCTTTCTTTTGTTTTATTTATTTTTTATCATTTTTTTTTTTTTTTTTTTTTACTTAAAATATTAATGAGAGAAATGGATTTTTGTACAGTTGTCAGTAGCTAAAAATATGTACATTATAAAATAATATTGTATAGAATGGAGTAAAAAAGTACGAGTCTGAGAGATTTATGCTAGACTCCTGATATTTTCTAGTTGTTATTAGATGGTCTATCTTGCCAAAATTGTTTTATTTAAATTATTGCTTAAGTTTTAATAAGTTATGTTTATTTGATTGTAAATTTTTAAAATAATGTTTATGTGCTTGAAAACGCAACATTGTACATTATTGTTGATACATAATGCAGAATTTTTCGTACAAGTATTACCTTTCATTGAAAAATACGATTTTTTGTTGAAAAACAGGTTTGATCGTCTTAATCAAATAATATTTTTCCAAACCCAACAAATTTTAGCCTGCAACTATTTCTATTTGAAAGTGAGATATTTAAAACCATTGGAAAACATATGATATTTTTTTATCAAATGTGGAGTAAAATACAAGTAGAATGGTTTTTGAATCGCCTTTCGTTCATATGTTTAAATAATTTAACGGAAATGTATTTGATTTCTTTTTCTTTTGAAACTTTGATAAAGTATTACTACTAATTAGAAAAAATTCAATGTAACATATATTTGTATCCAACATGAAGCTTGAGATCGCTCTGTATTTTTGACTACTTGTAATGCTTGTAAGTCATGTGTGCCATAGTATAGTGATATTTGATCTAAAAAAAATTAGCTATTTTGATATGTCCGTGCACAATTTTTTACTAAATGGTAAATATTTTAAAAGAGTTGTGGCAATTATCTCAAGCTTTTTTTTCTAAATAAATATTGAAGTTTTTACTCAACAATAAATAATAAACCACTGCACTGTAGTTCACTCCATGTTTTTTGTTATACTTGTTATAACTTTTAGCTTCAAACTTCCATTTGAGTATATGTGAAGTTAGAAATATTTACAAATCGTTGTCATCCAAATAGTTATTAAAGCCGTGAAAAATTGTAAATATTGTATGTGTCCAAGAATTAGTGAGTAATTTTTTAATCATGACTTATATTGATAGTCCTACATTAAATAAGATTTTTATTTTACACCAAAAAATCGTGTCTTAACTCCTTAGTGAGTTAGTGAGTTGTATCATTTGTTATTAATAGAGATGACAAAACTTTCTTCCAATGATCCTTTAAAATTTAGTTAAACAATGGTAAAAACAAAATAGTGTATCTGAAAAGATTTTTTATTCAACTCGTTTAGACTGAGAATTATATTCTTTACGATATTGCAATGATTTTTAAAATCTCATGCAGGACCTTTATAAAATAGTAGTCGAAAGTCTAGTCGTTTAACAATAATTAAAGAAAAAGACAAACAACATTACAAAGTGAATTTCACGTGTTTTATTTGATTTTTATTGTAATCTACATAAATATTTGCCTGTTCGTATGAAATGACTTTATTCGAAAATGTTATGAACTTGTGTACAAATAAATAAGCATGCGGAATTCTTGTAAATAAACTAATTTTCAAAAAAATTTCTCGTCATTTGTGTGTCAATGTGTATACTTAATTGATACCTATATAGTAAGAACTTGAATATATATTTACGGAAAAGCAAAATTCAGCAAATTACTTCTATACCGATTGAGCAAAAAACGAAAAATGCGGGAAAACGAATCATACACTTGTTGGTTTGTGTGCGTGTGTTATTGTTTACAAAATTCAGTCTCTGAGACTGCTAGTTTACACCGGGGGAAAAAAATAAACAAACAAAATGTCAATCAAGCCGCTTGATAGTAAAACAATCAAGTTGATCAACAGTACCCAGGTGATCACTTCGATTTACAGTGCCGTCAAGGAGCTCGTTGAAAATTCTCTCGATGCTCACGCTCAAAACATCGAAGTTAACCTTGTAAATTTCATTCTTTTTTTTTTTTAATTGTGTGAAAATAATACATGTACATTTTTGAAATCGGTTTTTATTAACTTGTGGTTCTTAAGGTGGACGATGGCCTGTCACTCATTGAAGTTAAAGATAATGGTGTCGGCATCAGTAAAGAAGATGCGCAATATATGGGCTTGTCTTCGTACACGTCTAAAATTCAGAATTTTAATGATTTAGGTAAGCTCAAAGCTTGAAAACTTTCTTAATACAACGCTCACACAGTATAAAAGCTCTTTTCGAAGTGTTTTTTTTGGTCAAGTTCACTGATTTGTTAGCGATACCAAAAATTGTTTTCACTTGAAGTTATTTGTTTGCATAGATCTATTATCCACCTATGGATTTAGAGGTGAAGGCTTGACAGCTGTTTGTCAAGTATCAGATGTAGTAGTCAGTACTAAAACAGCTGACGATGAAACTGTGACATCTTATACTTTGGACAACGAAGGATATGTTGTTTTATCTGACATATGTCATGGATTAAATGGTATACTAAGAAATTACATTTCTGTTGAAAATTTTTCAAACACTCACGTGTCATTATTGCATGATAGGTACAACTGTTCAGATGAAAAATTTATTCAAAAACATGCCTGTCAGAAGAAACATTTTAAACAACAAAAAAAGAATCACTCAAGAGATCAAAGCTGTAGAGTTACTTTTGAAAAACTATGCCATGTGTATGCCTTCCATAAGATTTGTGTACAGAGTAAACAGCAATGTTGTATTTATGAAATCCAGCCACAAATCTTTAATTGAATCCGTCAAATCGGTACTTGGAATGCAGTTGTATACGAGATTGTATCATATCGAAAAAAACTTTGGAGAGGTGAATTGTAAAGTATTGTACAAGGTGTTTAATTGTTCGTGTCATCTAATTTTTTTTAAATTGTTTTTTTTCTTTCATCAGAACGAAATGCAATTATTTATTCCTAAGAAAACGATTGAAGAACATTTTTCCCGGATAGCTCAAGCTGGTATGCAGTTTGTGTGCGTCAATGGTAGACCAATAAAATCTAAGGAAGTTGAAAAGGTAAATTACATGTTTAAGCATACCTCTGATAAATTACTACAACCATCTAATTTTTTCAGCTAATTAATAAAAGACTTTCGGAATATTTCTTTGAAGTTATTGTAACTCCTCGGAAATACATGTTTTGTTTGATCTTAAAAGTTAATCCTGCAATGCTTGATGTGAATTTGGAACCAAACAAAGACAAAATTTTTCTTCAAAATGAGGTATAGTACAACTATGTCAATTCAATCTTAATTTCGGTAACTTTTATTAAAACATTTCCTGTCCGTCAAAAGGCAACTATACTACGTGAGTTAGATATTTTGCTGTGTGAGTACTATGGTCTTCAGGAATCTCAAACACAAAGTGATATCGAGAATGTAAACGTTAATGGCAATTTGAATGAGTTAGAGAAAGATAACGAAAGAGATCAGGAAGCAGCAAATGAAACGCCTGCTTTGAAAAAAAGAAAAGTTGATGACAAAAATAAAAGTTCCAAGGATAATAAAAACAAAAATTCTATTGATGGGCCCAATAAGATCGTCGAACCTGGTATGGGTTAATTAAATTTTTTGTCCTTTTTTTTTATCATCATTCTTTTAATTTTATCAAATCTTAGATGAGCCTACTCTACAGAAAACTGATGAATTTTTAAAAACTTGGAGTCAGCCAGTGTTAAGTGACGTAGATACGGATGATGAGTTGAAAAAGAAATCAAAAGATGCGCATACAAATGCATCAGAAGCAACAGAAACTGCAAGTACTCAATCTTCTGAGTCAGAAAGTTTCGATCTTGGCATTGGGCATTTAAACAAAAATCAGATGATGAAAATAGAGGAAGAACGCTTTTCACAATTGCCAGTTGTTGATCTCGGGGATGATTTCGATTGGCGAGAAATCGTAACAAGGTGCAACAAGAACTTGATGGAAAAAGATAGCCTCAATGAGTCCGAGGTAAGAGAAGTCAGTGATATAATGTGGAGTAGAGGTCAAATACCAGGATTGCAGGTGAGATTCCGAATAAATATATTGTGAAAAGAACCAAGGAGGTGAGGAATTGTGAGTGCTCTATAAATATTTCAGGGTGGTGTGAGCATTGGAATCTCAAACAATGAAAGTAATGAGACTAATAACGGCAAACAAACAGATGAAAGTGAAGAATCTGCAATGTTGGACATTGCTGCAGGCATCCCGCGAATCGATCATGACGAGGATTCGACCACTAAAAGCAGAATGCGTGACATCTTTGAGTTTGGCTGTCAAGAATTTCAAAAGAATTCTAAAAAACCACCAATCAGAGCAAAATCAACGACGCCCAGTACGACAAAACGAAAATCAACTGTCGTAAGTCGTGTGATATTTTCTTCCACTTTTTCTTATTGTTTTAATTATTTTAAAATATTTTGAAGAAAGATGATCCAAATCAGCCGAGGATACCGTTCGCTGGAGATAACGCTTGTCTCTCTTCCATGGGCCCATCTGCGTTTGCCATGTACTGTTCAAAAGTCAGGACTGAAAGTAAGATGTATCACTGAGCCCATGTTTACTACGTGTCTTAGTTGAATTTCAGCCATTAAGTTTACGATTTTTGCATCCTGCAGTTGTCAAAAATCACCCAGACTTCACACCAGCTGATGTGGCAGCTGAATTGAACAAGCAATGGAAAAATACAAGTTCAGAAGAGCGCGAATTTTATCGTGAGCTTGCAAATCAACAGAAGCAAAATTCTCCCATACCCTTGAGTATTACTCCGAAAAAACAAAAGCCGGAGCTTTCAGAGTTGGAGAGGGAAAAGAATCGCAAGAAACTCGTGAACATGCTGGGGAATATGAAGTCGAATAAGGCTGATGTTAAAAACGAAAGCATGATCATGAGGACTTACGTGCCCTGGAATATAAATTTACCTGTGTTAACTCATAAGTTTAAAAAGTAATGAGGTTATATCAAAATCTGTTGGAAAAAGTTACTTCAAGTTTTATATTTTACTTTGCTACAATTATCTTTCAGATTGGTAACCAGAGAAATACCCATGGAAATACCGGAAACGCCTACAGTTATCGGTTCGTTGAATTCACTGCTGTGGATTGCAAAGATTACGTCGTCACTTTACATATTTGATGTTTCAGAGCTTAATGCTCAGTTAAGTATAACTGAGTGTGATATGAACAAGGTAACGCGCTTTAGTTTTTTATATTTCATTTTTATTCAACCAGTATGCATAATCCCAAATGTATTCTCTTGCAGATCAGCAAAGAATACGTGAGCAGCATCGTCAATAGATGGATGACTGAAAAAAATGATATGAACGTTTTTTATCTATTTCATAAGCTGAAAAATACGTAGAGATCGAATCTTTGATTATTTAAATGTTAATTGTAAATAATCATTTAGTCTATTTAATTATTGTATACTTACCTACTATTCTTTGTGTTTCCAAAGTTTATTTACATTGTACAGCAGGTTTTAGATTACATACCAAATATACTGGTTATTATTAGTACTTATTGCTTTTTATCACATTTCATGAGGTTTTACTCTAATTGTTCTTTTTTGGGCGTTTTATATAAATAATACTCAAACTACTTGTCTTAGAACTCAAGAAATTGATTCATTTTAAGGCTAAAAAAATTAGTAAAATACTAATTGATGAAGAAATTGCAAATAAAAATGTATTTCTTTAGTGCCAATCTTTGTTTTTTTTTAAAACAAATGTACAGAATAATTTGAAAATATTGACGAACATTATATTTTTTAAAATAAAATAGATATGTGAAATGTCAATTTTATCGACCTTCGGTACAGTCACAGAACGGTATAGAATTGATAACAACGATAACAAATATGTAAATATAACCTACTTGTAATTATCATTGTCAAGTACCACAATAAATATCCTATTAAAATTGAATACACGATACGACTACAGTAAATAAATAAATCATATTACTATTGTGTGCTGTAAAGTAAGAAATTTTTCCACACGAGTAATTTAAAGTTCCTTGCAATGTCGGTCATAAGAAGAGCTCAGGTAAACGCTTACTACTGCTGTTTTGAATTACTTATTTTTGTCAATTAATACTTTTTCATTAATTGCAGCAATGGGGCACATTTGCACAAATTTGGCACTTGTACGATGCCAAATGGCAAGATCCTTTTCAAAGTGCAAAACTCATAGCAAGAACTCTCAAAGGTCGCCACAAGCCTATCCACCATCCCATGAGTGAGTAGTCAGCCTTTGTCTTTAACTTTACTTTCATGTAGCTAACTTAATTTCTCAATTTCTAGATAAGTGTGGTGATCACGTCGTTGTTATAAATAGTAACGATATCGCACTCAGAGGAGACGAGTGGCAGTTGCGAGTTTATTTTCATCACAATACCTACCATGGTGGGGCATCTTGGACAAAAGCTTGGGAATTGCACAAGAAAGACCCAACAATGGTAATTAAAAATAAACTGATTCAGCACGCAATCTGCTCTTAAGTGTTTTAAATGAATCAAAATTTATTGGGGGTTTCCTAATTTTCAAGTGCTTACTTTTTTCATTTCCAGATTATGAAAAAAGCAGTTTACAGTGCTCTTGGAAATAATATAAGTCGAAGGTATGCTATGTGCTGCTTACACGTTTTCTACGACGACAATATTCCAGAAGATATCAAAGGGAACATAAGCAATCAGTTGAGACAATTGAAACCAGTACCCAAAACACTTGATGAAATTTCACCAGAGGAGGTGGAAAACTTCCCACAGATCGTCAAACTTCCTGAAACTTATGTATTAAGATAAACTTTTTTTTCATAGGGTGTAAATAAACAAGTACGTAGATTGGAACATTCTTATTTAAGTCTTTTCTATTTTTTTACTAAATTCTAGCAAGTTTACAATACAAAAGTTTGTGTAAATGCCCATTAAAAGTATTTTTTGAAAACGCTTATTTTGTACAGTTCAGCTAAAAACTCGTATATAAATTGGAAGAACTATAATGTAACATGGGTGTTTGGTGTTAACATACATCTCACTTTGTCTCATCTAAAGCTTTAATTCTTGTTTTTGTCTAATATATGCAAATCCTTGGCTACCATCTCGCGCGTGACATACATCATTTTGTATTTTTTTTCGTTGTATACGTCGATAGCTCGCTGGCGCATCTCTTCCCAGGCGTAGATGTCTTGGAAAAGCGGACGCACGAACTTTAGTCTTCCCTGAGACGTGGCAAAATCCAAAGCCTCGCTCACTTTCTCCTCCCACCGAGATTTTAAACACAATCTCAGCCAGTTGAATCTGTAACGTAGAAATATCAAGATCACGTTTGATGTCTGAATAAGTATTCCATCATCGCGTGAGATCGTACCGTATTTCGGAATTCTGCCGGGAATCGAATCTGTAAAGCTCACTCATTGACTTTACTTGATCGAGGGACAAAGATTTATTGTTTAATACTAGTTCAGCTAAGAAAGCTTCTTTCTGATTGGACGTCCAGTTTTCTATGTCACTCTTACTGAACTCGGATATCGGCTTGTCCGCTAGCCACTTGGCAGCGAGGTCTAAGTACTCTTGAGCCAAAGTGGTGTCATACTTGGGAATCACAGGAGGCAAACCAGGCTCATTGAACCATGCATTCCAATCTACTTTGTCTAAAACCTAATAAATTCACGTTTTGATGGTTTTTGTAATGTAATAATATTGGTTGCTAAAACGTATAGTCACCTCAACTTTGTCGGAAAAATATTTAAACAAATATTCTTTCCACTGTGTGGTGCTTAGGCTTTTGTACTTGAATTCTTCCAAGTAGCTTCGTAAGAAAGGCTCAAACACATCAGGCCCTCCAAGTAGCTGTTCTAAATAGAATAGGAAAATGTGTCCCTTTTCGTAAGGTACAACTGAAAAAGCATCATCTGGATCGATCCCAATTAAATTGGTCACCAAATTGGTTAGTGGATTTTTGTCTCCAAGCGTTATAAGCTGTGTAAAAAAGATTCATCATCTGGTATAACAAAAAAACTTGATGTAAACATTCAGAGGCAAGATAGTAAAATGTTATTTACGGCAGTTTTCAGACTTTGGACCCCCATCAGTGCAGCAAAATGCCTGACCTTATCGTCGTACATTCTACCCAATATTTTTCTCTCAACGAATACCGTAAAACCTTCGTTCAACCAAAAATGTTCAAAATTCATATTTGTTACCAAATTACCAGTCCAACTGTGAGATATTTCATGAGCAACTACATTGGCCAACGAGCGATCACCAGCTAGTAAAGTTGGTGTGACAAAAGTAAGGCATGGATTTTCCATACCACCAAACGGAAAACTGGGAGGCAGGATCAATAAATCGTATACTCCTATAGAAACATGTTTTGATTATTTTACAAAATAACCGAAAGAAAATGGCTAACGTTTAACACAAAGTTACAAACCCCAAACGTATGGTCCACAAATATCCTCTGCCGTTTTTAACATCTTTTCAGTCTCTTCAAATTCGTAAGCGCCTTTGTCGAGCAACTCTTTTTCGGTCCATACTCGTGTGCGCGGCCCGATTTGTTTGCTAACAAGAGCACCAGCGGCTATTGCTATAAGATACGATGGAATTGGTACTGGTTGATGGAACCTGTGGATCTTTAATGCTTTATCCACATCAATGATTTTTTCTTTTATTGCTGACATGAGAACATTTAGTTCAGCTGGCGCAGTTATCTATATGTTAAAATAAACGTATTAAATGATGTTCGACAATACAAATCAAACTGTTGAAATAAAAAAGTACCTCTGCTGTGTACGTAGACTTTACAAATGGCGTATCTTGACAGGGTAACATAGATCGGGCGTGAATGGCCTATAAAGAGAGATGTATTTTTCAAATACTTGGCGATCACGTTATAAAATGGAATGCTATTTTCATACATTATATTACAAAAAGATTACCTCACACTGAGAAAACAAGTATGGATGTTTTCCCCCTGCTGTTTGTTCAGGGTTGAGCCATTGTATAGCAGTAGAGTCTTGAGATGTTCGGTAATCAATTTTTATTTTATAACTTGGAAAAAAAGTTATTATTTGTCATTTTCTTTCGAAATAATAACACTACACCTTATTACTAACATTACTCACCTTATTTTGCCATCATCAATTATTGGGTCATCTGGTAATTCCACACTAAGTTTTGATCCATAATCAACACCTTTTTCAATGCAGTAGTCAAGCCTTGATCCATCAAATATATTTGTAATTGACAATATGACTAGACCCCTTACATCCAAAATCTGTTTAAAGAAAAATTCATAGAAATAAGAGAATCAAACGATATTGAAATTGATGATTAAACCTAAATAAATTACCAAGACATTGGTATCTCCTTTCTTCTCGACATCGAGGATGACGCTGCCTTCAAACATCTTCCTTGTAAAATTCACCTTCACATTGAGATGAATATGAGTAACAACAGCCAAATCTGTCATGGAAAATTACTTTATTCTGACTAAATCACTATTTGATTAATTCAAAGCAAACGATCTCTAGCATGGATGAATGACAGATTTGTAATAGATGCATAAGGTATACATACCTGGTCTGGAAAACGAATTGGGATCTGTTGGACTCAAAGCCATTTCAGTTAGCGAATCTATGCTCGTACTCAACAATAGACTCATCGTGATTGGAAAATATGTAAGTGACTAGTTCTTTGTATACAATAGTCACTGCAGTTCAAACAGACCACCAATCGACCAATATTTCTCTTTTTACTTTTAGTAGTGGTTTGCACATGGATACAAAAGTCCGAGATTGTAATCATTTTGTATAAATTACGAGTTGTTGAAGTAAAATTTTTAATGTACATACCTACGATTGATTGTTTACTGGATACTGTGATATGATGAGATCGCTAGTTTGATATGAGGCAGCAAAACGAGTTGCTAAATAGTAGTCAAGATAAAAAATACGCTCATCAAAGTATTTGCCCAAGTATTTATAATAACTGTGCGTGTTTACTGTACACACTTGACAGCTTTTGGCTTGACAGCTCTTTCGAGTTTTTGATAATAGCTTTTGGCTTGACAGCTCTTTCGAGTTTCGACGCTCTTGCAGCAGAAGCGTTCCAAAAGTCAGACGTCACTCGCCATGTATAAATGGCAACGCTGTCATCAGCAGCAAAACGCCATTCTAGGGCTTCCAGAAATTCCAGGCTGTACTTAGCAAGTTGGTGAATAGTAGCGCTCTGGGGGGAGCTTATAAATGCATACAATTTCGTTATTGTTTTTCATTGCAACATAATTTTCATTTAACAATATCAAACATTACTTATTTGTGATATAACTGTTTACATGTGGTTTCATGATTTTTGCGCCGAAACTAAGTGACATTTCATATTTCGCGGGTCACAAATACATATAGTTATAAACGTCGTCTGCTGAAAATAAAAATAAGTGTCATAGAAACGTCAAAAACTGTTGAAAAATACTTTTTAAGCTGCTTTTTAATGTAAAACGTCAAAGGCAAGTGATGAACAATTAAAAAATAAAGTAATAGTTATTTTTAATCGCAATTACAATTCTCATTTGTATTGATTGTATTCGTATATCAATAACCTATAAGTTTTTGTTTTCAACAAATTACCAAAACTGATTAGTTGTTATGAAATGTAAATTAATCCAAGTACAATAATTTAGAGGCCATTGCCAATATATGTTTTGAGGTTGATATAAACGCACATAAAAGTATACCATCTCTGTGTTGGACGATGAATAAAAAAATTTGTTAGAAATTTAAATCTCAGCGAAACTTTCATAAAATATATTGTGATTGATGACCCTACTTTAAAATCTTTGAAAACGATTTTTATCTTTCTTGTGGTACAGATAATTGTAGCTTTTTGTCCGTTTATTTGGTTTTTCAAGCAGGAATTCATTTTTAGTTGTTTTCACTGTAAGCAGTATTGGATAATAAAGAAATGTCAACGAAAAATGAAGAAGATAACAGTGCAGAGCCGGAAAACAATGACGATCATTATTTGGAATTGTCTCCAGAACCTGTTAAATTCGAACCCGTTAATGATGTTACGAAAATTTATTTCGATGATTCTAAGCAACAGGTCAATTGAATTATCTCTTATAAACATGCCAAATTTTTTTTGAAAACTCATCCTATTTTTCAATCTTTGTTTTGAATTTTTTAGGTGTTTGCCATCAGATCTGGTGGTGTTACAGGTGTGCTTGTCAAGGGACCAGAGCACAACATTAATTTCAGAATGGAAGACAAGGGCTCAGTCATATCCATTAAATTTTCACCAGATATGAATATTCTTGCTATACAGCGTGTCGTCACATCTGTTGAGTTCATGAATTTCAATGGAAATAATTCATTGGACGGTGTCGAGTATTCCCAACCATGTAAAGGAAAAAACGCTACTATTCTGGGTTTTGTCTGGACACATGGCAATGAAATTCTTTTTGTTACTGATCATGGTGTTGAACTTTATCAAGTAATATTGTATTTTTCGGTTTTATGGTCCTCCCAGCGTACATTATTTTTAAATTTTCTATTTTTTACAGGTCATTCCTGACAAACGTTCGCTCAAGGTGTTGAAATCCTTATGTTTACAAGTAAATTGGTTTATATTCTGTCCACAAAGCTATTTGGTTTTACTTTCATCAGGAACATTAGGAAATCAGATGCAAACGTTGTACGTTACTCCAGGAAATTTGCATAAAATAACAAAATTTGAAAGTAAAAATTCGTTGTATATATCATAAAGAGTTTGCCTGAAAAGTTGAAGTAATTTGATTTTATTATTTAGTGGATACAATCTCACCAAAACCTGGAAAGTTAGCGGTTTTAGAAAGAGACGTGGCACTAGCTGTTTTGTATGGTATTCCTTGTATTATAGTTCTAAGACACCAGCCTGGTGACAATTTTCGTTCTGGCTCTGCATTTGTCTATGTATACACAGTTCACAAGTAAGTTTGATTATTAAAAAATTTAACTTTTTATACTTTTAAGCTTACATTGTTTATGAATTGCAGGATGGTGACCATCCGAAAAAGTCACATACTTAAACTGGATATGAGCGGTCGATTTGCCATCAATATTGTAGATAATCTAATAATTGTTCACCATCAGGCTTCAAAAGTTGATATTTATTGAAAATTTTTAAACAGTGAATTACCAATAGTTCAGCATAACATTGGATTCATTTTACAGGTATCGATGATATTTGATATTATGCTGCCTGGCGTCAGCGATGGCACTGTGATTCACCATTCGCAAATTGTATTACCAAAATCAATAAAGCCATGTAGCATAAGGGTTCCTGGTCCAAACATATCAGAATACGTCAACCAGCCCTGCCAATTATGTACGCCAATTAATTTGCAATTAACATTTTTAATGTTTATATTTTATTTTAATTAATAATTAATATTTATTTTCTACGTCAGATTCTCCTGATTGGGTCGTCTTCCAACCAAACGTTGTAATTGACGCGGAATTGGGGTGTTTATGGTAAAGTACATACAGCTAAATGAATAAATTACATTGATGAGGGCCTTTAATATCCTTTCTTAATAACTCAGGTACGTCGGACTGAAGTTGGAAAAAATAGTAAAATTAATCAGTGAAAAAGTTTTGCTAGTTGAATTTTTGATGCAACGCAAGAACAGCAAACAAATTTTAATTCAAGCGATCAAAGATTTCGTGACGCAGATGCCAGTGGTATTGAAGGATTTGCCAGCAGTTTTTGACAAACTAAATACCGCATACAGGATTCATTTGGAAAACGAGATCCAAAGTGTCATGGGAACCCCGTTGCAGAGTAACGCCAAAGATACCACAGTTTCTGATGTCAAATTTAAGACCTTCCTGGATCAAAGTGACATGTACAGCCACATACTGTCCAAGTTTTCAGAAGGCTCACTCGACTCCAAAATGGCAATCTGGGTTCTTCTTGAATACATAAGGTAACGCATAATGTCATTTTTTTCGTTCAACCAATCAAGTATTTATTGTTTTAAAAAAATTTCCTTCTGTTTGCAGATCCCTAACAGAGTACGGAATCCCAGTGCAGCACTACCTTCACGAGTTACTCATCACGACATTGGTGCAAAAGCAAGCCTACTACCAACTTCATCAGCTGTTGCAGTATCATGTGGTCTCTGACTCGAAACCTCTAGCCTGTCTGCTACTCTCTCTGGAAAACCATTACCCAGCAGCTCATCAGTTGGCCCTGGACATGCTCCGGCGTCTAGGCAATGCTCACGAGGAGATAATCGAAGTGCTGCTGTCCAAGGGCCACATCCTGTCTGCGTTGCGTTACGTGCGCAGTATCGGCAAAACCGATCAGATGTGCGCTCGAAAATTCCTCGAGGCCGCCAAAGCTAGCGCCGATCCCATACTCTTTCACTCGGTTTACAAGTTCTTCGAACAAAGAAACGTCAGATTGCACAACACTACGAGCTTTGCTAAAGGGGAAAGGTGTCAACCGTACGTCCAGTACTTTAAATCTCTGTTCCAGACGACGACGGACGCTATGAGCACCTCCAACTCTGACTCGAATTCCAATCTGTCGAATATCTCGACATAGTATATGGATACGTAGGCTGATTATAGATCATGTAAGGTTCCAGAGAATAGTGCGTCGCGCTGTACAGATATTCGATTATATTTTATTATGAGAGACTTGGTGGAATTTATAACTATTATGTAATTGTTGAAACAATGAATCAATTCAACAGCCACATCTGCGTATTTTTCGCTCATTTGATTCCTCAATAATCATCATGATCCATTTATACATGAAATGATTATGTACCAAACCTTTAAATGCAAGTAAACGAAAAAAATAATTATTTTAGAAAAAGAAAAAACGACATTCAAAGAGAGAAATCATACACAAGTGTAAAGACACTTTTTTCTTCTCATTTTTTGTCACCTATACCTTTTTCATTCGACAAATTTGTCAACATTTATTTCTTTAGAGCGAGTGTTACTTGTTCTCGATGAAAAAAAGTAAGCTTACTTTTTTCTTTTACCCAAATCTGAAAAAAATTTCTCATCAATGGAAATGAGGGATCAGGGTCATCAGAGATCAAAAAAGCTCAATGCAGAGGGTGCCAGGACCCGCCAGTCCTTATTTATGATGTATTGTATATCCGTGAATAGAATTCATGAATACGTGTGTGTGTGTGTGTGTGTGTGTGAACACTGTCGATCAATACGATAATTACGTTACCGATGTGGCGAGTCCTGACGCCCTCTATTCGCTCCGAGCCGATACAGAGGTTGCGCCCCCTCTAGCCAAAATCAGGCAACATTTCTTGCGTGTAAACAAACGGTTTAGAACATACATACATACGTATAGCTGCTTGTGATTGGCTGAATAAGACAGCTGGAGAGGGTCGTCGTTCTCTCTCTAGCTTGCCAAGTGCCAATCACAAGCAGCTGTACGTATGTATATATGTTCTAAACCGTTTGTTTACATGTAATAAATGTTGCCTGATTTTGGCTAGAGGGGGCGCAACCTCTGTATCGGCTCGGAGCGAATATGGCCATCGAGATTTATATTTATAAAAATAAAGGGGCTAAAAATAATAATAAAGGGGCTAGAGGAGAGGGGGAAGGAGGTAATCACGTATTTTTTTCCGGTGGTGGGGGTCGTTGCAAAACAAACGAATCTTGCGAAAGCAGATAGGCACATGTCTATACTTAATCAACATATGCATAATTGAAGTTTTAATTTTTCATGTTTGCGAGTATTATTTCTTGAAGCTCATTGCTCACTGAAAAAAATACAAATACCTACTAACCCTACTTAAAAGCAGAGAAAAATAAAAACGGCATGTCATGAGTCCACCGACGGGAGCGAGATACAAGCGGTGCTTCGTGCCGGGTTGCCCGAGCGATACGGTAAAAACGCCGGACAAGCAGTTTTTTTGCGTCCCGCTCGAGACGACGACGAGATACAACTGGTTCGCGGCCGCCTGGCCCGGGGAAACTTTCGTCCCAAGGCAGTTGTACTATTGCTGCCAGGACCACTTCAATGTGAGTATTTTTCATATATTTTTTTTGGTTATTTTGTTTGGTCATCTTTTCACAGCAGCAGTTAATCACACACTTACATGCTTTCCGTAAAAATATCAATCGTTACGGCCTGTGATATTTTAGTTGAAAGAGGACTTGAAATATTCGCTGAAAGGGGGTTCCTCGCTGAGGAAGGAAGTTGTGCCTCATATTTTTGATGGTCTGACGAGGCAAAAGTTGTTAAATGAGGTTTCCAATGGCGAAGAGCAGCTCCACAGGCTGCCCAAGAAAACGAGGATTTTTGATGATGAAAACGAGGTCGACGAATCTTCATTATCCAAGCAGAGGAAGGTTGAGAATAATCCAGCTCCGACTGAACAGGTATGCTTTTTTACAGCTTGCAAGTGTTTGAGCTATTTACTCTTGTGTTTGTCTTTTCAATGGTCGTACATTATACATACAAGAAAGGAGCTACGTGATATTCAATTATGTAGAAATATTTGGTAGTCATATAGTCTGTTCTACTCGTTTGGTAAACAACTTTTAAATGTATATTTATAAACAGTACATACTTATTTGATGGTTACTACTGTTTATTTGTTACTGTTTATATGATTATACCTGATACACACTACTGAGGCGCTCAAGCACTCGAAGTGGGACTTTTTCGTCCATTTCTGACATTTAGGCTTGATAATATTAATTAGTTCTGCATTCCTATTTTATTTCAATTTACAGAACAATACTAGTCGGCAATCAGGTCATATCGCATCACAATTAAAATCTGCTTACGTTATTCAACAGAAAATTTATGAATCAGAAGCAAACGTTAGATACGCTACTGAGAATAACGGTACTCCCCAAAAGGATGTAATTAATGTTCTCAAACACGACACTGTTAAACGAAATTCTGAAGTCGTACATACAGAGGCAGAAGATGATAACGAAATTCAAATTATTGATCCCCCTATTAATGTAAGTTTTTTTTTTTTTAACGTCCAATTTATTTCTGTACGTGTACGTTCATACGTTTTTTGAGTAACTGAAAATTTATTTAGGAAGGCAATACTCAACAAGGAAAGACAAGACTCAACCACAATGACAATCATGGATCGCACAAATTGACGAAAAAAATACTTTTTCCGGAATCACCAGGTATAAATGGTACAACGAAGAATAAGCTCCGGACTAAGACTAAATCTACATTGGCCAAGCCAATGATGGTAGATGTAGCCTGCCAGTACGATCCACCGATCACGGAAGACAAAGCGTGCTCACCTATAAGATTGATTATAAAAATGCCTGACTCCGACAAGGAAAGTGGCACTTTGAGTTCGAAACAGATGCTAGTTTTGATGAAGACTAGGAAAAACGAGCTCTTTCCCGTTAAGGACGTAAAAAAAAATGAGGTGAACAATACGGAAGAAAGTTCTTTTGCCATTAGTCACCTCGTCAACAGCAATCCCAAAGAATACATTGGCATCGACGCGGACAAGCTTCATATCCTCGAAGAGTTGAAGAGTAGCACCGGCTGCAGCACGAACGACATCATGCTCACCCTGCTGAAGATAAGAATGAACAAGTCTTTCGTCAAACTAGCCCGTGAGTTGGGCATATCGACGATCCAGGCCATAACGATCTTCAACAGGACAGTCGGCCTAATAGCCAACTGGCTCAAAAAATACGTATATCCGCAGTCATCCGAGGATACGAAAAAGTTGATAGTCGACGTTCTCGAAGTTGATGTCGAAAAACCTCTAGATCCGCTGCAACCGTGCCCTTTGGCAGAGTCCAAAAAATCTTGCAAGCTCAAGTACCTGATCTCCTGCTCCCCGGATGGCCTGATCAACTTTGTGTCAAATGGTTGCAACGGAACCGACGCCTCGCTTTTCCGCGAAAGCAAGATCATCAACAGCTTGCCGGAGAGCTGCACCGTTATGGCCAACCACGAGTTCGACGAGCAAGTAGAGTTCATACTGAGGAAGAGTAAGTGCCACTTTGTTCCATTTCTGGCGGTGCGCTCTTGCGATGCAGATGCTCCGCAAATCGATTTGGACCTCATGCGAGAGATGAGTTTGAGATTCAATGTCGAGGAAACAATGAAAAATGTTCGAGACTATAAGATACTGGCGCCGGACGCCGGGCTCGATTTTAGCTTCATGACGCACGTGGATAACATCGTCACTATTGTTGCCGGATTAGTTAACTACCATAGGCTCTATGAGCGATACTTTTGAAGATCAATCCATTCCCTGTTTTTTTTCCAGATCTATTTGTTCGCCGAATTTTGCATGTTCATACGTTTTTTCGAAACGTAATTTAAGCATAATTATTAGCAATATGTATTTTTAATTGAAATCGAAATAAAAAAGAAAAGTTTTTTTAGTCACACAAAGTTTCATGTCACTTTCACTGATGTTGTAATTCTTTCATTGTGCATAATTTTTATACTCCCTAAAAGTAACGAAATGTTGAAACGATAAAAAAGAAAAAGTTGACTCGAGTAAAAGCTACTTTATTCGAGGACGGTTTAGGTATGTGCATATTAAAAAAAAAAAAAAAAAAAAAGCGAAAAATTTTGATAAAAATAGCCAGCCACCTCGTAAATGCCCGTTGACCCGCGAAGTCGCGAAACGATAAAAGTCATGCGCTCACGTGCTCGTTAAAAACCGTACGATTAATCGATAGTACGTATAGTACGGAATAGGCTGGTTGCAATTTCGCTGGTCGCTGACACGTGAAGTATTTTTCGCGATTTGTGATTCACCGGCGGAGTGTGAAAAGAAAAGCAGCCGCTACCCCCTCGGGGGAAGATGATGATGCCGAGCTGTTTCGACCATATAATTACTGTTCGGTAGTTGGAGTGCTCTCTCTCCTTCTTTTTTCATTTGGCTATATACGAAGCTTGTGGTACTTGCATGTACTTTATGTATAGATGCTGCTCGATTAGGACATCTTTTTTTTTTTGCTTCTGTCCATTTATGCTTATCATTGGTAAACTGAGAGAAAACAAATAATAAAAACTATAGAGGAGAAATTTTTACTGTTAAAACAACAATTTTTACTATGAAAAATAATAACTTTTTCCTGTTTTACCAGCTTGCAACCGATTTACTGTGCAGAATGGTAATTTTTGCTGGAATTTCTCTGAATTTTTTTTTTTTCTCTCAGTGTAAGTACATGGCGATGTAATATGTAGAAATTGATATTACATGAGTTATTAAAAAAAAAAATGATAATAATTATACATTGTAAGTAATGATGTAGGTGCAATGTATACTTGATGCTAATTTTTTGTTTTCGAACTCGAATTAAAAATATGCTTCCATGACTGGCACATGGTACTTACGTTGATTTTCAATCTAAAGTTGGTTTTTTTTTTTTTTTTTTTTTTTCTTATGTTCAATATTGATTGAGAATGAGAATATCTTTTCACGTTGATTAAAATTGTTAAAGTCATCAGAAAACAAATGGTTGTAAGTGTACATTTACGTAACATTTATCGGTACAACAAAAGGATACACATGTAATGTACAATAAGGAAGGTGAATGGGAAACAATCGGGGCTCTGTTGAGTCAACAAAAGAGGTAACTCGCGAACACTTGAGCACATATACATGTATTTGTTTAAAATGTCTTTATTGACGTACTTTAGATCACTTTTCGTCTTTCATCATTTATTGTTTACTCGACAAAACAATATTGTACACAATACATTATTAAATTGTTACCTGAGCGCTCGCAAATGCTATGGCACATCCATATATACTATGCGTGTACGCACATTTATACATGTATAATACTGTGCCGTTTGCGCGAATAATTTAATCATCTTCGCTTCCTCGAAACGCTGTATTATTATCACTCATGTTATAGAAGTAATGTGAGATAACTTTTTTTTTTTTACACGTATCATTGTTATTTCGACGTGCATTTTTTTTTTTTTTTTCTCTTTTTGGTTACACACTTAGATTGAACGCACACACTGTGTTTTTACATTTTATTTTCCTAAATTTGCGCTTTTGACATCTTTGCTCACTCTCTTGTTAAAAATAATACTATGAAGCACGTGAAACCACCTGGAAAAGCACGAATAACGCAAAACAAATATCATGATATTGATCACAGAAAATATTATTCCTCGTGTGTTTTACTGTTTGAAAGAAGAATTTCACTGCAGTTTTTAATATGCAAATTACGATGAAAATTGAAAACTTTTCCTACGCTTTTCGGCTTGTTAGCGGCTGATCCGGACTTTCGAGTGTTTGTCATACCAGTACTTTACAAGTGCGAGTGTATACAGATTCGGGGCAATAGTTTATAGCGATGCTTCGGTAAAGGGTATTTGGTCAAGAGAGAAAAAGACACTCAGATTTGTCAATAAAATCTCCGATGGCACACATTTCGCCTCTTATCGATTACATATTTTTTATTGTATACATAGTACGTTATAACTTTCAAACTTTGAGAGTTGCGTTTGCTCATTGTGTACGTATTACGAGTACTTGTACAATGATTATTTTTTTTTTTCAAATTGTTGCTGAAATTTTTTGCCTTTCCAACTTGGCATATCGTTCAAAGTTGTCCAGCATTAGGTATATTTTACCCTAAGCTACGGTAATACTGGTACAGCTGAGTGGTGGTTTAAAAAAAAATTACTTGCCGTGTCGTTACAACTGTTTCGACTATTTCGTTACAAAATCTCTGCATCTTTGAACAAAGGTGTGTCATATGAAGTATTTTGATTTTCTCTCTCTCTTTTTTTTTTTCTTTTCTTTGTTACTTATTAAAGTTGCGATAAAATGGTCCACGCATTAGATTGATTATTACGTAATAAATGTTCCGTTTGAATATTTATTGTTGCTCTGTATGCGGTATTTATGTATTTTCCGTCTATGAATATTTCGAATTATACGTTTGATTGTATTTTAAAGTTTTGCACTTTTCAAACAAAAAAAAAACTTTTTTGTAAAAAAACGGAAAAAAAATCGGTGTAATATATACCATCAATTTAAAAAATCAAAGATTTTATCCTCCATCACATTGGTTAGTTATTCACCGCACAACGCAATGAAGAATTGGAATTGAATTCCGGGATGATTCGATGACCCCTTTTTTTCCTCCTCATCTTCATTTTTTACACAGCTATGCGGCAAATGATCGATTCTACGTTTTATTTACACGGTTCTCGTTAAAGTAGATCTTTTAAAAAAAAGTTACTCCCCTGTGGACAATTATAAATTGATTAGTATGCATGAATTATCAAATGCACGCTGGTAATTCCTATTATGAAAAATTATCTTCATTACTTAATAATGTCGATTAATTACTAGTCCATAATAATATATAGTACACAGTTACGTACCGTGTTTTGCACAGCAGTATTGTGTACAATGAATTTTTTACCTTTTTTTTCTTACAATGTTTATTATTTTTTTTTCACAAGATAGAATATACATGTATGAATATACACTTACTTATTTTGCGAAGCCCAAAAGCTCCTAATAAAATTATCGTATTTGTCATTTTCCTACATTTACTTAGTAAATTTTATCAAACTGCGTATTATTATGGATTTATTATACTTGAAATGTAGAAATTGAACGTATTGTATAAATACAGCAAATTGATTTTGCACTTTCATTTAATTTTTCTTCTACCACATCAGTTTTTAACACTTTTGAACAAATCAATTAATACAATTTATAATAACCATCAAAAGTTGTATCAATTTTTATAATTAATGCGACTTTTATAAATTTTTTATATAATTTATGATTAATCGTGATATAATTCTTTAACACTGGC